GAAGCGCGCCCAGCCCTTGCAACGCCAATGTAACACACGAGTATCCAAGAGGGCGGTCCGAGGAGAAAAACAGTTCCGCAAATGTCTGATTAAATCCTCGCTCCAAGGCTCCCATTCCCCGTATCATCCCCTCTTCCGTTGGTCCTGCAAACGGTTCCCCCAGCGCTGGATTCGAAGGATCCGAGTTTTTAAGAGCAGAATAATTATTCCAAAAATCCGGCTGAGATGGAGCGGAACAAGACGATGAAATTCGGTACGATGAAATGTGGCCACCAGAAGAAGTGTAAGCGTACGACGAGCCGTACCGACTAAGAGGGAGCGGTATTTCAGTCGCCTCATTGAAAAGGGGAGCGTCGCCTGGGGGGTTCGAAGGTACCCAGTTCGGGGCTTCGTGGTTGTCATCTACAACTTCGTTGAGGGTCATTAGCCGTGTTATGAAGGTGTTCGAAACACCGTCGCCGGCCTGGTACCATGAGCGTAGATGCAGAGGCTGTGGTGACGGTGGAGGCATGGGCGGTTTTAGAGATGAGGCCCGGCGCGAATCCGCCGACTGATTGGGGTACATCGCGGAAGCTTTGCGTCGCTTTTGGAGCAAGAGGTGCGAGAATTCTGGCAGTAATGAGGTGAAGAGCGTCCAAGTTTCCGCTGGCGGTGGGGTTGTGTTGCGGCTCGAGGCGTCAGTCCGGGACAGTACCGTGAGTGAGCGGCCTTGCCAGCGCACCTAACTGCGGTCAAGGGGCTAAGGGCTATGCCAAAAAGTCGTGGCTCTCCTGCTAGGCAAGAGTAAATTATTCATTTGGCTATGTTGGGAGGAGAACAGGCAGGACTACGGGTAACTGTGAGAAAATAGGTAAATTCGCTAACTCGATCTTTAACCTATAGATTGCAAGTTGTAGCGTTACTCGATGCAGGAGGGCGGCTCAACGAGATACTACTACGTAGCTCTACTAGCTTTGGTGTTGCTAATGTCGCTCGTTTCCCTGAAGTACCCATGAGGTCGGGGGTCGTGGGGGTGGGCACGGTGGGGTGCAAGACTTTTCGGGGTGGCCCTTACACTGTGCGCTAGCCAAAAAAGTCGTGGCCGCGCCCCAAAGTCTCCGCTTTCGTACATGCCACGCGCCAAGGCCCCGCACGCCCCCCGACTTGATCTGTGGTTCTAGACGTCAACACGTCTTGTCTCCATCAAGTCATCAACACCAAGGCAAAAGCCACCTCATGATATTGCGAAATCGCGCACTTCCATGCCCTCTTAGTCTCCATTTCCACCTGATACCGGACTGCACATCTCCGTAGATGACTACACTCGGTCCTGTCCGCCCGTCACCGGGGTTGCGTCAGCGCCGGGAGCCCCATCGCCCATCCCTCGCGCGCGTTAGTACGCGGGCAACTACCTACGATAGTATTGAAGATGCGGTCGTGCCGGAGCCTGCCCCATTTGGTGAGTCTCCTTTGCCATGCCGCGTGATGCAGCTTTTGACGGCGCGGTTCAGTGCCTACCCAGGAGTACATCTTGAAGAAACACCGCGGGGTGCCACCGTCCCTCATTGTTCACCTCCACAAGACGCACTTCCGGTTCGAGCAGCAGGATGGCAACTTTTCGTATGCTTCCGAGATGAAGGTCTTTCTCGAGCACCTCAAGAGGAAAACACTGCCGCACGAGATGCTGGAGGAGCTCTACAGGTCGAATGTCCCGTTCTATGATGGTAAGCCTTGGTTCTGACACTGAGGTTGCGAGACTGATCTCAAACAGGTTGCTTGATTGTCGAAGTCCACAACCATCGCGTTACCGATGCCGCACCGAGCGCCACCACAAACCAAGTCGGCGGGGAGTCTCATATACCTTTTTCCATACACAACTGGAATGAACACATTGTTCCCTCTCCCCATGTTCCCTATCCCACCAAGATAAAAGGAGAAGGCAAGGTGCACACCAACGGGGTCAAAGGCTCGGAAAAGGGGAAGATGGCGGCGCCGGACCAGCCGGCATCGGCCATGCAAAAGAAGCCGCCGGCAACCCCTTCACTCTTTGTGGTGGTGCTCTTCCCGACCCAGCAGAGTCTCTATGAGGACATGGCGATCCTGGCACGGACACCTAAGAGCGAGTTTCTTGCGGCGAGGCGACAGAGCAAGGCCGGTGCTACGCCGACAATGACCCCCCAGACACCACTGGGCTCGATGCCGCCGATCCCGCTGGGAGTAAAGGCCTCCAAATCGGCCATGATTCTGGACGAGTCGAATGCTCTGGAGTTTGAGGCCGAGCTCATTAACCGCACCGCGCCGCCGCTGTACCTGAAGCCGGCGAAGAATTTCAAAGAATTCTCGGCCCTCTTGGACGTATTCCGGGATCCGCTTCACAACGAAAGTCCTCCTAAGCCGAAACCGCGAAAGCGTACGCACGCGGAGGTTGCTGCGGACGAAGCACTGGCCGCGTCCGAGGAGAAGTTTATCCTTGCCTGGGATGAACGGCATCAGGCGCTGTTGGCGGGGGTATCCGCGTCTGGGGCCGCCTCGGAGAATCAAACCCTGCGCGGTTCTACGTCGTTTGAGCCAACGTTCAAGCGCTTCAAGACGCTGGAAAATATCATGATGCGTCATGCGGAAGCGGAGAGACTGAAGAAGGAGGAAGAGGCGCGCGTCGCTCTATCCAAGCGGCAAGCTGAGGTTGAGAATAATAAGCGCAGAGAGGTGGAAGAGAAAAAGCATAACCTGGTCCAGCGACAGACTGAGCAGCATCACCAACAGCAACAGCAGCATCTGGTCCAGCAGCAGCATCAACAGCAACATCAGCAACAGCAACAGCAAAAGCAACAGCAGCAGGCTCAACATATGCAGGCTCAACAGGCCCAGCAGCAGCAGCTGCAAATGCAGGCACAGGCGCAACAGAACCAACAGCAACAGGCTCAACAGCAACAGGCTCAACAGCAACAGGCTCAACAGCAACAGGCTCAACAGCAAGCCCAGCAGCAAGCCCAGCAGCAGGCCCAGCAGCAGGCCCAGCAACAGCATCAACAACAGCAACAGCAGATGGAGATGCAACGCCAGCAACAGCAGCAGGCCCAACAGCAGCAGTTGGAGCTGCAAAGGCAGATGCAAGCACAGCAGCAGCAGCAGCAGCAGCAGCAGCAGCAGCAGCAGCAGCAGCAGTCTCAGCAACAGCCATCCATGACTCCAGTTGCAACGAACGCCCAAATCCCAATGATGACGGCGGCTCACGGGCAAGGGCAAATCTCTCAGGCATCGGCCATGTCCCCGATCATGCGCCAACAGACTCCGATGTCGGCATCTCCGGTCCTGGGAGGTACCCCTATGAACGTCAGCATGACGAGCGTACCAATGGCTATGTCGGGCTCGAGTCAAGGCAGTCCTCCACGGCCCTCATCCACGGTCCACTCCCACGTAGCCATGGGCAGACAAATCAGCCAGCAGCAGGGCCCAAGTTCGCACGGCACACCGCATGTGCAAAACACCCCGAACATGGCATCCGCTGTCCCCGTTACCCGCAACATGACGCCGCAGCCGCGCACCACTCAGCATGGCAGCCCGCTGCAGGGCCAGATGCAAGGAACGCCGCTAATGAACGCGCAGGCGCCGAACCAGCACACACCGGAGCAGCAGCAGCAACTCATGATGCGGCGCATGATGATGCAGCAGGCCCATCAGGCACAGTTACAGCAACAACAGCAGCACGCTCAGCGACCGCAGCAGGGTATGAATCCGACGAACATGTCGCCGCAGCAGATCCAAGCCCTCATGCAACAGCGCCAAATGGCCATGGCCGGTACACCGGGCCCACAGGGCACCATGATGCAGCAAGGGCAAAATGGCGCGTTCCGCACCACGCAAATGAGTCCCGGGCAAATGGGCATGGCGGGCGGGACCATGATGTCGCCGGCGCACCAGCAGTTCTTCCAGCAAATGCAACAGCAGAAACAAATCATGGAGAACCGCTTCGCGACCGAGTGGCAGGGCAAGCTGGCGGAGCTGATCAACAGCTACGGGGGGCAGGTCCCGCCCGCCGTGCTCCAGAACTTCAAGAATCAGGAAATGCTATCCAAGCAGCAGCTCCAGCTCCGCCTACGCCAGCAAATGCAGGAGAGCTACCGCAATGCGGCCATGGGCCAGCAGGCGCAGGCTGCGCTCGCCGCGCAGGGCGCGAGCCAGCAACAGCAGCAGCAGGCGGCTCTCGCAGCAGGCATGAATCCGGGTATGGCGATGGCGCAGGGCGGTGCGCAGACGGCGCAGTATATGGTGCAATTGCAGGCGCAGCAGCAGAAGCTTATGCTTGCGGCGAGATCGCAGCATATGCATCAGCAGCAGCAGCGGGCGGCGGCAGCGGCGGCGGCGGGGATGGGCGGCGGGCAGGGGATGCCGCAGGGGTTGACGCCGCAGCAGCAGCAGCAGTTGTTGCAGCAGCAGATGCAGATGCAGATGCAGATGCAGGGGATGAATGGGATGGGGGGGGGGATGGGGATGTAATGTGGATTGATGGGATGTATGAGTATTATGAGGGATTGCTTGGGAGTGAGCGTTGGGTTGTATTTTGGCGTGGACTGGGTTGGAGCGGGCTTGTATTCATTGTTCTCTTGTATGGTGTTTTGGTTTTGCGGTTTTGGTGGTAACGGGGCACGGGATGGCAAGCAAAAGGATGCCTAATTGAGTGTTGAGGTGGGTTCGGGACGGGACGAGTAGGCATTTCGCCCGAACAAACGCCGATGCGTATGCGGAATAACATTATTTCCGACATGCACTCTTCATCATTTCTGTGATGCTGATCTGTCAATCACGAGTCTGTAGAACTGAGACCTTTGGAGCCGTCGTTTTGGTCGTTGGGCAACAGGACTCCTATTTCCAGAGGGTGGCCGTGGTCTGGTTACCCGGCATTCTGCGTCCCCGTATGGGTGCAGGCATTACCCGGCATCCCGGCGCGCGAAATCATCCCACGATGACGCGATACAACATCCACATATGACTATTGCCTCGCCAACACCTCCCATCGAACAGGCAATGTGGCGGAGTGGTTAACGCGCTGCCCTGCTATTCACCCCCGATTCTCGCAACCGGTCACAGCGGATGCAAGGCAGTTCCTTTGGGAGCGTAGGTTCGAATCCTGCCATTGTCGAGATACATAACCTTTTTTTTTTTTAACGCTGCTTTGAGGTTGCGGGGGGCGGACCTGGGGGGAGGAAGCGTATGTGATGGCCGCAGGAGGGTTGGCTGAATGGGGTTAGGGAGAGAAGGAGGGCAGGATTTGGGGTGGCTGATGGCATTCACGACGTCGAAGCATTTGGGTTATGCATGGAAGGGGAGGGACAGAACTTTTTTTTGGGGAGTCACTGTGGCACGCACTTCTACATAGTACACAGTGTTGCGATGTGACATTTGCCTTCGGAAGCCGACGCCGCGACGCCGCGACCGCTAACCTTACGTCCATGGAGATATATGCGCCAGCCTCACCCCTCTCCGACCTCCCTCATATACAGACCTCAGACTCATCAACACCCGCCCCCATTCCCGTTCCTTGCGCTTGCTATCTTCGCAGAGTTGTCCTGCTACCGCGACCGCAATATGGGCTCCCGGTGGGAGCATCGGCTTGACACGTACAATGGCTACGGGTACGGGTATGAAGTGAAGGGTAGGTTGAAGACGAAAGGAAGAAGAGATTTAAGAGACGTTCGAGACTAAATACACGAGGTGCCAAAATGTCCTCCCGTGTTTCTCACTTCCATTGTACGCATAACACATCATCTTCATTCCTGCCTAGCAATGCTACTCCCTCATGTCTACATCATTGTCCCCCCTCGAAAACAATGCCTTTGCGCTACAGCGTCCCACCAGGATCGTCCACAGTCCTCCATCCTATGAAGATGGGGAAACCAAATAGCGTCGGCTTGTTCGTCCCCTTAAGTTTGCCATCTGCGTGCAGCTTGTCGAGAATCTCGTTTGCAACTTCTTGCTCCACCTTTCGCATCATGGACCTTCCGAGCCAGTTTGGCTTTCCGGCTGTTCCAATCGGTGACGGGCGGGCGAGATGATATCGCCGAGATGCAGGAGGTCATGGAAGACATGGAGCTGCCGGTAAAACGCATCCCCCATTTCCCGCACGATTGGGCGTCACCGATACAAAGCTAACACGCGCAGCTCGCACTTTCGCGGCTTCTGGGTGCCCCGGTAGAAGCGTGGGCTCTTGCAGATACGGCACTCCATCAGTTCCGCGTATTCGCCGGTAAAGGCCATGCAATTCTTTGGGCAGCAGTGGAGTCATACTGCCCTCGTTAGTGCAAGCTTTAGTAGGTGCGAGAGCGGCTCCCGCATGCTAGGAAGGCTTCGGTTCCGCACGTCCATATCATTCTTCCATTTCGCATATTGCCTGCGAGTCATGCCCATCGCGTTCTCAGCGCAGCATAGCCAAAGGTCCCGCTCCTCTGCGAACATGCGGACGCCGTCGAGGGCCGCCTCGGCGGTCGACCAGCGGCCACTGTCTGGCCTATTGGAACAGAATCCCAAGTATCGTGGGCTGGAACATATCCTTTCCAGCGTACCTGGTACACCAGCGACTTTTTCTTCCCTTTACCGGTGCGAACGACTTTTCGATCCACCATCGTTAGGGCAAAGTCCGACCCTCTGGATTACTGAATGTTCATGCTTCCCGGAATTGCCGACAGGTGCTTCGTCCATGATGCCTCTTGACCTGTGGTCAGCAGGTCCCATCACCGCTAGGGCGGTACTCCGGTCCGGCGATAGTGACGTCCGAGTCGTTTGCGGGTACCGGGCGATGAGCTGTCGCCATCGCTAGCCGAGCCGCGGTGTTGTATTGCGATTTCGACCACCCGATTGGTGACCTCACTCCGTCTATCAGTCTGTGGATGGCATGTAGTGCCAAGGTGGAGCAGCGTACACAACGCCTTGGATAGCCCAGTCCAGTCCATCGCCTTCATAGACAATCCGATGAGGGTAATGATTGACGCACAATTGTTCGTGAACACTGTCAACTCCTGGTGTAGGAGCGATATGGCCCTTCAAGAAGTTGAGTCCACCGAGGAAAGCTTTCATCTCTTCGAATGTTGCTAGAAGCTTGTCGTAGTCGGCAGATGCATTGTTCGCAGTCTAACGAATTAGACGACCCGGTGAGGTGCAGGAATACTTACGTCGAGCAAAAGCGTTATCGCCGTGAAGCCGTTATAACTTGCCGTGAGCAGAAGGCACTGGTGAGCCGAGAAGGCCTGTTGAGCATAATGGGAAGATTGAATGATGGACTGCTGAAGAAGGTTGAGTGATGATATTGAGGGATGGAAGGTTTGATCGGCTTCTCTGGTGGAAGACTGCGTTTTAAAGCAAGATGTGACGTCACCAGGTCTCTCATCTGAGGAAGGAACATATGTGGAGTGGAAGGAGGTACTGAGGAACGAGGGAAGGAACGGTCGGGGAGAAGTCCGTGCAGGAGGGAAGGCGGGTACACAGATGGGCGAGCAGGAAGGAGAGATCTGCCATCTTCAGTTCATCGGGAGAGAAGGTACGACTGGATGGTAAGCAAGCTGACGTCACACTGTTTTTGTAACGATGCTTGGCTGACTGGATATTTCTCTCTTGCATCTGTATGTGCAATTGTAGGGAATCATGCGTAGCTTCAATAGCAGTACAGGACGAGGATGTCTACTGATGCATGAAGGACCAAGCCGCCAATTGGCGTCACTTTGGCCGTATTCAAGCCGTGACCGGGCCTAGCATTTTGCGGGGACATGAAGGTACGGGGTCTGACGCGTCCAAGGCTGACGAAGGATCTGGTGGCGGACCGATACTATATCCGTGGGGGCCGATGCGGCTCGGAGGCTCCTCCGGGCGAGGTGGGACTTTCACATGCCGCGGGGTGCGGGGAGTGTACTCTACAAATATGTACAGATTACGGGTCAGCAATGATGAGCATCCCCCCATCTCACCTGCGCCCTCATCCATCCAACTCCGCGCCCAATCTTCGGCATGCCGAAACATACTCACGTGACCAGGAGCCATGCTCCGGTCAATCAAGCGAATAAGGCTGAAGGAGATATGAATAGAATGACGAGATGCATGCGGCCGCGCTCAGCTTCTGGTGTCCATCAGGCTGGATCGCGCCGACATGCCGACATCCGCACCGGGGTGACACTGCTGCTCGCAACGACGGCGATGATATGTCCGATGAGGAGCCGACACGGCAAGTATGTGCGTCGCTCCGGAGGCTTTTGCGTTCCCCTCGTACTGTAGTCTTGATGCTGCGGGGAGATGTTGCGCGAACGGAGTCCTAGTGCTGAGTGGCCAGTCGTAAGGAGGGATAAAAATAGCTGGCTTGATGGGTGGGGCCTGCTGTATCTCTGCGTGGTGCTCGCCGCGGTGCAAGCACGGTCTGCTAGTCGCCTGCGCGTCTTTCGACGAGCTCAAGAGAAGACGGAGTTCCAGAACAACAGAGACAAACTTTTACTATCTCGACGACGCGCCAGCACCACCAAAGACCGCGACTCCTAGGGCTGAAGAGACTGGGGGCTGATAGCGTAGAGATCTAGTAACCTTTAGCGTGGAGCATCCACTCATGTACGGTACAGCTATGCATCCGTTCCAGTCGTCGTCTTCGCCAGCCAGCACTGCCACCACCAATGTCGCGCGCAATACGAGGCTTTCCTCTCACAGCTTACCCTGCTTGCTGCGGGCCGAGGGCCAGCTGAACTGCGTGCCTAAGCGTGAGGGCCGGTGTGTGAGATGTGGTTGGAAGACAGGAGAGAGGAGGGGGAGAGGAGATGGCAATGTGGGGGACTTGCTGCAGGCGAATCTGAATGGACACAGTTCACACGCCCTTCGCTCGGCGTCTCCCTTGACCCTGCAGCTTCAGATATCAAGAACAAGCTCTCCTGGGGGTTGAAGCTCCTGTAAGCAGCTGTGCTTTTCCAGCTTGTTCGACGACGCTTTTTCCTTGTCACCTTAGCTGGCCCGACTTCGCTCAACAGGACCAACAGCACCAGATATGCCATCTTCCAGCTATCGCCATTCCATGTTGCAGGAGAGCTGTTCTTCATCGCCTCGCAAGCTTACCTAGCAGGCTACATAGTGGAATTGGGATAGGACAGCTTCCATTCTGTCCTCTGCACACAGCCTCTCAGCCCCGCTTCCACTTCACACTTCCCCCCATCCCCACTACCGCAAGCCTTTGCCGCCGACTACGACGCCTTTTTCTTAGCTTTTTTTATGTTGGATTTGGTATCTTCGGTCGTCCTCCATCATTCTGAGCTGCCGACACCTGGGACTCGACGACGAAGTAAGGATTTGTATCCCTGATAGAGGAGAGGATTTGTGGAGGGGTTGCCCCACCGCCTGTCAACAGCAGATCACCATCGCACACACCAAGAAGTTCCAGCTCCAAGCACCAGCAAAGCAGCAGCAAGCAGCTCAGCAACAAGCATCACGTCGCCGCCTCAGCCGCCCTCAATCCCAAAGCTGCTCACATCCCGCAACAAGCCCCCCACCGCCTCTCTGCCACTTTTCCTCCCGCTTCTGCCTCTGCCGCCTGCCCTCTCCCGCGCACGCCTAGGTGCTGAAGCATTGAAGCAACCGTCAGTAGTATCAGCACCAGCAACCACACTAGCACCAGCACCAGCACCATCAATCCACCACATTCAGCCCCACCACCACCACCTTCACTTCCGAACCTACCCAGGGGAAGAAATCCAGGGGGCAAAAGAGAAAAATCGCACTTGAAGGCTCCCAACCTCATCGTTCCCTTTCTGCTCTTCTCTTCTTCTTCTTCTCTTCTTCTCCAGTCTCTCTCCACTACTCACTCCTCTCATCTCCTGCACCCCTCCTTCCCGCCCACCGCCCGTTCTCCGCTTCTGCCCCCTCCCCCTCCCCCCCCAATCCCCGCCCCCTCCCCACCAACTACGGTTCTCAGCTCCCACTTGTCACCTTCCACACATTTTCCCCGCATACTTTTCCTCAAATGCCCAGGTTATTTGGCAGTAGTAAAAGGCCGGCGCAACCGTCGGGCGACATATCGCATCCTCCTCCTGCATCAGGTATGTCTTCTCTTTGCTATTAAGATTGTCTCGCCTTTGTGCACCCTTCCCCTCATCTCAGAACCCCCACTCCACTCCCCTCCCC